TACCACTAAAGACCCGCCGTGTAGGGCAGCGATGCACGTTAAATCTGTCGAGAGCTGAAATGTCCTCCCGTTGGTGTGGTGTGGTAGTTAGGAGAGGGGGGTGCCAGCTCAGGTGTCGTCCACGTCACTTGACCATGGTTTAAAATTACGTGGTCCGTCGCCAAAAGCCCTCGTGTAGCTGAACAGTGCGACGTTAATATTCACTCCAAAAAATGCTTCCTGTCCCTTTTAAATCAAGAGAGGTGAGGGTTATTAAAAATGTTTTTCAACACTGGCATCATGCTTTTATAAAAGCCGTGACCCCATGGGCTTATTATACATAAACTCTTATTCAAAAATTAATTTAAACACTTATTTTTATAATTTGTGCGGTTTATAATTAATCACTTAACTGCCGATTAAAAATTACGCGATTCGCTCCCCAATGCCACCGTTTTCCACGTAGGCGCACGTATGTATTGTACTGGGGGAGGGGGATGAAAAAAAAAAGAATAAAAATAAGTAAAACTTTCTCTGAAATAAGTAAATCCTTCTCAAACACTGTCAAGGTACTTTTATTGCATTCCAAAGCCTACGGAATAATTTTATGGGTAGCAGTGTACAGAGAAAATCGTACTTCGGAAAGACTTATATATACGTACGGGGAAACTAAAGCTTTGGCTGATCGAGACGTTTATATACGCTGGTGGCACTTAAGAGCTTAAAATCGTACTGTAGCTTTAGCATCAAAGTATAGTATTATTGAGTTCAATGCATTGTTATTGTATAGAGGGGGCGATGAAAATTATGATTGAATATTGGGCCGTAAATATTGAAAGTTTGCGAAACACTGTATTAGTCATTAAATTTTAATATAGGAGATGGAAAATGCTAACCTTTTCACCAATTCCCGAGCATCAGAAATAAATTCATTAAAATCGGCTTTTTCCGATTCCTACTATTAGCTCACACTCTCTATATATTTATTTATTTATCTTGGGGGAATTTTCTGTCGCGTTAATAAAATACATTTTAAAAGCGCTTAATTGAGCTGAAATTTTATATATATGATTATTTTGGATGACAATACAAAAATTAAGTAAAAATTAATTAAGATTAATTATTTAAAGAATGACAGATACAGCCATTTTTAGACTTGGGTCAAAACTTTAAGATTTTTTTTTCTCACGTTTTAAAGCATTTTATATACACGATTGTTTTGGATAGCAATACGATAGAAATTGGAAACATTTCTATTTTCCATTAAAGGCTGGTCTCTCTTGCTTGATTGATTGAATATTAACGTCGTACTCCGTCGCTACACGATGGCTTTCGGCGACGGACCACGTAATTTTGAACCATGGACAAGTGACGTGGACGACACCTGAGCTGGCACCCCCCCCCTGTCCTAACTACCACACCACACCAACGAAGGTGCGAGTGAAAAATGTCTCTAAAAAACAATCTCGTTTGATTTAACAGCATTTTCTGATCAAATCGAACCCTTTTCATTGCACTTCGAAGCAAAACTGCAAGGCTACAAAAGGCAGTTAGAAGTTTTGAAGCCTTGGGAGAGAAGCTGCTCAAATTAGATCACATTTTGATGGAAAGAGTCACTTACAGTAAAGTTATATATATTTTTTTTTTTTTTTTTTTTTTCTTCATTTTTCTCTATTTTTGGATCATGGTGTTAGATGAATTTATTTCAAGATCACTTCTTGAAACATATTCATTGCTAAGGAGGGTTCCTTTCTTCAATTTCTACTATTAATTCACTGTCTGCCTATATATATATATATATATATAGATAGATAGATAAATAGAGAGAGAGAGAGAAATATATATCTTGTTCAAATTTTCAATCGTTAATAAAATACTTTATATTCACCCACCCAAGTTCAAATTCGTTTTTTAAACTTGTAGTGATTATTGTCACAAGATGTTCAGTTTTTTCAAATATTCATTCATAGTTAAACTTAATTAATGAATAAACAGTAACAAATAAAAAATAATAGTCCACACCCTATATAAAAAGGAAAATCGCTCGTTGTGTCCCTGTAGCGCAATGGATAGCGCGTTGGACTTCTAACCCAAAGATTCGATTCCTACCTGGGATGGCCTAATTTCTGAGAATGCGATTTATGAATCAATTAATAGTAACAAATAAAAATAATAGTCTAACACCCTATATAGAAAGCAAAATGGAAAATCGCTCTCTATTTTGCCACTTAATATTGTGATTGTGTCATATCTATATACATATTTATATTAATTGTAATTATTTAATAAAAAGTAACTAAAATAAAATTTATCACTGTTGACTTAAGTAGAATTGACTTAAAAAAAAAATAAATTTTTTTTTATATTACATGAAGAATTGTCTCCCAAGAATGTGTTTTTCTTTTAAATAAATAAATAAAACTGCTCTGTAATTTCTCTTCTTTTTTTTTTTTTTTTTTTATTAAATCATCTAACGGAAATTTAATCAATAAATGTTTTTAAAAAGTTCTGAATTTTAGTCCCTTGAAAAGACACGTTTTAACTTTCTTGCTGGCCAAGGTAGCCTAGTGATTAGTCACGAACTCGTGGCTGGAATGACGCGAGTTCGACTCCTGATGCCACTGAAGAGACCCACTGAGTGGAAGGGACTGATTTTGTCTTCAAATCTATCTGTCGAGGCTCAGTGTCCTCCTGTTTGTGTGGAGTGAGTGAGTGAGTGAATATTAACGTCGCACTGTTCAGCTACACGAGGGCTTTTGGCGACGGACCACGTAATTTTGAACCATGGTCAAGTGATGTGGACGACACCTGAACAGGCACCCCCCTCTCCTAACTACCACACCACACCAACGGGAGAACGTTTCAGCTCTCGACAGATTTAACGTGCATCGCTGCCCTACACGGCGGGTCTTTAGTGGTACGGGGCTCGAACTCATGACATGTCTGCCATGGTCCGATACCTTAACCACTGGGCTACCGCAGCCCCCTGTTTGTGTGGAAGTTAGAAGAGAGTGTTGTCAGCTCAGGTTTCGTCCTCATTACTTGATCTAGGTACAAAACTACGAAGTCTGCCTCCAATAGACCTAATAATGGCTTATAGTACGACGTTAATGTATCTCCACTCACTCGCTTTTATCTCTTGAGGTGGCCGCGGTAGCCGAGTGGTCTAGGTATCGGATCGTGGGTGGCTCTGTCACGAGTTCGAGCCCAGTACCACTAAAGACCCGCCGTGTAGGGCAGCGATGCACTTTAAATCTGTCGAGAGCTGAAACGTCCTCCCGTTGGTGTGGTGTGGTAGTTAGGAGAGGGGGTGCCAGCTCAGGTGTCGTCCACGTCACTTGACCATGGTTCAAAATTACGTGGTCCGTCGCCAAAAGCCCTCGTGTAGCTGAACAGTGCGACGTTAATATTCAATCAATCAATACAAATAAATAAACAGAATCTAAAATAAATGATATGGCGACGAGTGTTTCTCAGTTAAACAAAACATTTATTACACTATTTACACGAATGCATAAAAAAAAAAAGTATTCAATGCATACCAGTGGCGTAATGGAGAATATTAGGAGTCCCCTGCAAACTCAGATTTTGGGCCCCAAGTTGGATCTTACAAAGGACTGCAAAACAATTACATCAGGCTTTGGGCCCTCTAGCCCCTCAGGGGGCTCACCTTCTTGAGGTGGGTACGGGTGTCACAATCCCGAGGTACCGTAGTGATCTTTTCCTTTTCCCAAGGGGTTTACTATCTTTGGTAAACACGGTGTCACGACCCCGGGGTACCCCAGTGATCCTTCTCTATTTTCGACCCTCCATCTTGTCATCCAATCCATCTTGTCTCCATTTCCTTTTCTTCTTTTCCCGTCCAGACCACAGACCTATGAATGTTTGGCGCAGTATAGCCAAAACGGGCTCTTGCGCCATAAAACACCAAACTCAAACTTGGGCCCTCTAGAATGCTGTTCCCCCGGGTGTACGTTACGCCACTGGTGCGCACGCTGAAAGCCGTCTTAGCCCTCCAAAAGCATCAAGCATCATTTTCTTTCAGTTCGAACCTTGTTCCGCTGAAGACCCGCCGTGTAGGGGAGCGTTGCACGTTAAATCTGTCGAAGCTGAAATGCCCTCCCGTTGGTGTGGCATGGGAATTCGGAGAGGAGGTGCCAGCTCAGGTGTCATCCTCGTCATTTGACCGAAGTTCGAAATTACGAGATCCAGCGAGAACCAATAGCCCTCGTGTTGCTTCATAGTGCGTTGTTAATATAACTCTTACTCCCTGCGGGTTCCGTAAAACAGTTTCAGAGTTTATGAAAAGGAACTTTTTACTTCTACCCGAAATTAACGTAGAAAGAGGGAGAGTGGTCAAGATTTATGTCCAGCAGCCTGAGAATTTATTGATGCTTCCCAGTTGCTATCCCTCATTGCAGGACCCTCAATCGAACATTGACCTGACATGTCAAGCACATTCGTAAAGAAAGACGAATGTTCTCCACTAATTGCGCTAGCAGCAAACATGCTGAGAGTTCCAGGCGAGGAGTAGAGATGACCGTGGTTTAGCGTCAATAAACTTAGTTGTGGTGGTGCCATCTTCCTTGACACAGTGCATGTACAACACAGTTTGTAACTTTGTTCGGACTTCGTAGTTCTGAGCCACGGTCAAGTGACGAGGACGACACCTGGGATGGCAACTCCCTGTCCGAGCTTCTACACCACAACTATGGGAGGACTTTGTGTCTCGCAAGGTTTTTTCGTGCACATCGGACTCCTCTATACGGTGGGTCATAAGTGGCACTAAGGTTCGAACCCATGGCATGGTTGCCTCTTGTTACTCAACGGAAATTTTACACAATAGATAATGGTATCGCATACCGAGGGTTGAGTTGAGTTTGGTGTTTTATGGCGCAAGAGCCAGTTTTGGCTATACTGCGCCAAACATTCATAACTCTGTGCTCTGGACGGGAAAAGAAGAGAAGAAATTGGATGACAAGATGGAGGGTCGATTGATTGATTGATTGAATATTAACGTCGCACTGTTCAACTACACGAGGGCTTTTGGCGACGGACCACGTAATTTTGAACCATGGCCAAGTGACGTGGACGACACCTGAGCTGGCACCCACCTCTCCTAACTACCACACCACACCAACGGGAGGTCGTTTCAGCTCTCGACAGATTTAGCGTGCATCGCTGCCCTACACGGCGGGTCTTTAGTGGTACTGGGCTCGAACTCGTGACAAGGCAAGCCACGGTCCGATACCTATACCACTCGGCTACCGCGGCCACATGGAGGGTCTAAAATAGAGAAGGATCACTGGGGTACCCCGGGGTCGTGACACCCGTGTTTGCCAAAGATAGTAAACCCCTTGGGAAAAGATCACTAGTGTATTTCGGGATAAATCTTATACCGAGGAACAATATCTTGAATAACAATCGAAAGGGGGGGGGGGGGGGCCTTTTTGCCAAATTAAATTTTTTTGAAGTTTTTTTTTTCCTTAAAAAAAAAATTCTCGGCTTCTTTGAATAGGATGTTTATCTTTACAAACCAACGCAGCTTGATGATATTTTATAAACACAAAGATCGTCAGCGTTGAATTGTTATTTTGCACAGAAAGTTGATTTATGTCATAAGTTGCTGCTTTTATCAAAGCTTTTTGGCAAACGATTTCTCTCCAAGAAATTTTAAAGTCTTCGAGAGAGAATGGGATATTGTGTGTCTTAATGTTTAGTTTATATTTAGTTCCTTGATTTTTGAGTTTTTTTCAGTTCCTACTCTATTATAGTTCACTCTCTCCATATATATATATATATATATATTGTTCAAATTTTCAATCGTTAATAAAATACTTTCTTTTCATCCAATCAAATTCAAATGCATTTTTTAAACTTGTAGTGGATGATACTTGATGTTAATACAGTTTTTTCAAATATTAATTCATCAATTAAATTAAGAAATAAAAAAATAGTAACAACAAAAATAATAGTCCAACCGCATATATAGAAAGGAAAATCGTTCGCTGTGTCCCTGTAGTGCAATGGATAGCGCGTTGGACTGCTAATCCAAAGGTCGGGGGTTCGAATCCCACCTGGGATGGCTTAATTTCTGAGAATGTAATTAATTTTTTACTGTTCTATTTTATAAGAATAATTGGATTTAATTAATGAATAAATTGTAACAAACAAAAAAAAAATAGTCCAACACACTACATAGAAAGGAAAATGTAAAATTGCTAGGAAAACCGCTTTCTACTTTGTCACTTAATATTGTGTGATTCTGTCATATATATTCACATATTTATATTAATTGTATAACTGTTTAGTAAAAAGTAACTAAAATAATTTTTTTTTTACCTATAAGTAGGAATTGACTTGAAAACTATTCTTATATTACTTGTTTTTAATTAATTATTATTAATCAAAAGAATCTAACAAGTCATTTCTTTCATATTTTAACATTATTAGTAATCCGTAAGTCATGAAAAATATTTATTTACAAATTCTTAAAAAACTAAGATGCGAATTTGATTTCTTCACAATATTTGTGCATTAAATCTTAAAGCGGCCGTGGGTAGCCTAGTGGTTAGAGCACTGAACTCCGGACCGGAAGGCCTGGGTTCGATGCCCGTACTGCCAAATACCCTCCGAGTACACGCGGAGCACGTGCTCGTTAAATCAGTGGGTCCGAAAGTCTTGTGGGCTGAATCACAAGTGCAGGGAACTGGAGAAAATTTCCCTCCAATTCAGTTCCATGCCTAAATTGTGGAGGTGGGTGGTGTCGCCATCTATCGTTCCTTCGGTAATTTCTCCGAGCTAAATCGTGGCCGCGGTAGCCGAGTGGTATGGGTATCGGATCGCGGCTTGCCTTGTCACGAGTTCGAGCCCCGTACCACTAAAGACCCGCCGTGTAGGGCAGCGATGCACGTTAAATCTGTCGAGAGCTGAAACGTCCTCCCGTTGGTGTGGTGTGGTAGTTAGGAGAGGGGGGTGCCAGCTCAGGTGTCGTCCACGTCACTTGACCATGGTTCAAAATTACGTGGTCCGTCGCCAAAAGCCCTCGTGTAGCTGAACAGTGCGACGTTAATATTCAATCAATCAACCGAGCTAAATCGTACTGTCACCTGTATGG